CAATGTGTATTGGTTGTGAGAGGTTTTCTACTCAACTCAAGTAATTACTTTTCATCTTTCCTCTATTTGATGTGATGTATATGTTGTGAAACAATTGTCCCTGAACCTTCAATGCGTCTAAGGGTTAGGAGTGAAGAAAATAACAGTTAAGAGTTGTGACTTTGTCTTGTAAGTTACAAGTTGTAACTTACTACTTTTCATCTTCCTCTATTTGATGTGATGTATAGGTTGTGAAACAATTGTCCCTGAACCTTCAATGCCTCTAAGGTTTAAGAGTGAAGAAATAACTGTTAAGAGTTGTGACTTTGGCTTGTAAGTTGCAAGTTGTAACTTACTACTATGGAATGGAACATCCAAGTTGTGTTGCTTTTTAATTGAACCATATGAAGCATAAATAAATTTCTTTTAAATTTCTCATGATCATATGGGTACTATAGATTTGAAACATAAAATCTAGTGCCTCTATTGGCCATAATTTCCTCCCAATATGATCAATTAGATGATCATAATATTGGCTATCATAAATATTGTCTAGGGAAAACTCGTCCCATGCTTCAGATCTAGAGGGGATTACTCCGGGCTTGTCCCGGAGCACTAGTGTCATGGAGGGCAGGAGATGTGCACACAGTAGACTTGCACAATAGACTTACCCAGGGTCGCATATATCTCAATAGATGACCCTTCGAGGTGTGCTCGAAGGTTCAAGGCAAATAATGGAAAGGCTTGTTAGGAAATGGTTCTATGATGAAGCGATCCCCTTCAATGCAATCACCGGGCCATATTTCAGGCCTATGGTCCTTGCAATTCAGAATGCAGGGTAATGGGGGCAATCTTGGATGAAGAGATAGCAGACATTAAGAAATGTATTGCAGAGCCTATGGAGAGTTAGCGGAGAAAGGGCATCACCATTATGACTGGTGCTTGGTGAGACAAAGTCAAGCAGAAAGATTATTTGAACTTTTTGCTTTCTTGCCAGCATGGGACAACCTTCTTGTCCAGTAGAGAGGTCGCATGGGTTAGGATGGATGCGAGGTTGCTGGATTATTGGACTAGATAATCGAGGAGGTGGGAGAGAAGAATGTGGTCCAGATTGTTATGGATAATGCCAAGGCATGTGTTTCTGTGCGGTTAAAATTGATGGACAAAATGGACCATCTGGTATATGGACCCATGTGCTGCCCATTGCTTTAATCTCATTTTGGAGGAGATTAGCGAGACCAAAGCTAGTGAAAGAGGCTCTCGTTTGGCTAGGTCGGTTATGAAATTCATATATAATCACGCTAGGATCCTTTACTTATTGAGACAACATACCTGGAATAAGGAGCAGATTAGGTCCGCTATCGCCTGCTTTGCAACTAACTAATTGCCATGAGTTCTATTGTATAATCCCAAGCCGCATTGAAGAGGTTGTTCACCAGTGAGGAGTGGACAAAAGACAATCTTGCAAAGTCCCATGAGGGACGGAATGTAGGTTTTGGTCTTGTGCTTGCATCGAATTCAGCACTGCTCCTTTAGTCACATTGTTAAGAATGGTGGGTGCTAGCAGAAATCCACCATGGGGCTCCTCTATGAAGGGATTAAGATTTCGAAGAGTCTATTATGGAGAAGTGCAGCTTGACCCCCTCAAGTGGAGGAGATCATAAAAAAGGTTGAACCCTTAATTGGGCCACTCGATCTACTATGCAAATAGATGTTTATTTATATTCTTTGAAAGTTTAGATTAAAATACATCATCAATGTCAATTTAAATGGTTTCTTCATCTTTGTATGATCTAAATGTCTTCTTCAACCACAATTATTTCCATTCGATTATTCCTAACAAGGTCATGGAGGAGGTCATCATCATCATCATCATCATTGTCTTTTCCTAATTAATTGGGGTCGACTACACGAATCCTGCTCCACCATTCTTCTTTATTAAAGGCCATACCCTCAGTGAGGCCATAAGCCCTCATACCTTTTCGGACTACTACCAACCACATCCTTTTAGGCTATCCCTTGCCCCATTCAGTCCTTCCACTTGAACTAACTCGTACCTCCTAACAAGTGTTGTACTTGATCGGCGCCACATATGGCCAGCCACCTATGTCAAGGTGGTGGATTACATTATTGGGAGTTAAGAGAGAAGCTATAATAATCAATTAGCAGCATTGAGAGAGGTAAGGTTTAATATTTTATGTAAGAATGATTTAGTGCATTTGTGAAACATCACTAAAGCACTAAAGGATAATGTCTTTCACATCTTTCTATGTAATGCAGAAGGCTCATTTGCAACTATACTTGCTTGCAACGAGACTTGCTAGGACTTCTCTCTATGATGGATCCAGGTAATCTCTTATTTAATAAAGTTTTCGTTCACATCATTTATCTTATGAAATATTTCGGCCGTTTCTTACAAAACCTTTTGCATTTCATTTCACTAAATAGTGGGAGTGCAATGGTGTTGACACACCTCACTTAAAAAGATAGTAATCAATGTGCTCTCTCAGACATGTTCAGCTACTGGATGTGAGCGAAACTGAAGTACCTTCTAATTGATACACACTTCTAAAAGAAATTGGCTGACTGCAAAGAGTCTTCTGTAGCTCGTTTATGTTCATTACAATTCGAATATTCGATACTGACAAATAAGGAGGAAGATTGAGGAACCCGATCGACTTACATGCGATATTTAATGCAGATACAACCGAACATTGGGTTGTAGAGGAAGAGAATCCAGTGTTATGCAAGAGAGTCTTGAGGCAATTGGTGAGGAATGTAAAGACGTTGAGGAGTAGGGAGAAGGAGATGTAGGCGGTGTTGCAGCTGTTGAAGAAGAGTGGAAAAGGGGGTATGGGAGAAAATGAGAGAGAATATGATGCTGAGGCCATCTGTACCAACCAAGATATATACACCCCAAAATTCAGTAACTAGAGGGTAGGGGAGAAAGCAAGAGGGTGAGGGCCAGCACGAGGGTGGACAAGCTTTGAGAGAGAGCAGCCCAACCGTTGGGGGTCTCAGGAATAGATAGTTTGGTAGTGACTTTTTGAGGCACACTTTGATTAAATCAATGAATTGTCCAGACAATTCAATGCGATGAAGAGAAAAAACTACGATGTCTTTCATTTTGGTATTAGGTTGTATTTCGATAGTTGTATGCTCCATTTTGGACCACGTATTCATATCGATGATGATTGTGTGCTTCTTTTTTCTATTGATATGCATGATCAACAAACATTCAGATAGGGAAACGACATCTCAATATGCACGTATTTTTGTAAAATAATAGAAGTACATAATGCACTACCCCCAATTTTTTTTGGAAACTCAAAATATATTTTTGCAGATTTTAGTATTTTTTGAATTTTTTTAAGGCTGCATTCGGCAGATCCAGTTGATTCCCCATTCCTGACCGCTGATCCGCCTATATGACCCGATTTTCTAGATGGACGTTTTGGGTCAACGATCTACTTTTTAAAACCTTGCTTTAAGTCAAAACGTAATTGTTTGTAATTGTTTCAGAAAGGATGCGTGCATGTATAGAAGTCTGAGGGGTCTTTTAGGTTGCCTGTAAAACAGATGACCAAATTCCTTATAAGGAAAAATCGAATGGGGTGTTAAGTTTGAAAGGTCTAAATTAGCTGCTGGAGATTCAAGAACTCAAATTTATGGGGTTGGGAGTTTTGAAATTGAAGAATTTGAAGCTTGTGTAGGTAGATCAGGTTTTGGGTGCTCGAAATTTTCATGTCTACTACTAGACGCTTGATCTAGTTCAACTTTGTGTATCAACTACAAGGCATATCCCTGTTGAGAATTGGATCCTACTTTTGGTGATTGAGTGGATAAGGATCTGCCAGAGTCTGTTAAGTTGGTGATTGACTGGATAAGGATCATGTGCATGTGTATACATGGTTCTAAATGGTTATCTTGAATATTGAACAAATGACTTATTTTATTTAATGCATTGAAAGGGAAATGTGGCTTTGTTATTTTGTTGACTGCAATCGTTCTGTTTTTTTTTCTAAATACTTTTCTCAATAAAAGTAGGGCTATGTATTGTGTCCATGAAACAGATTATTAGGTCTTTCCCAGTGTTTCGACTTCTTAGGGTTTTGGTTCCAAGATGAATTTAGGCATCCTTTTGGAGAAAAATGTGCTAAGACCTCCCTAGTGACTTCTATGGATTTTTAAAGAGGATTATTGAAGTCCATAGGAAAAGAAATGCTTGCTTATATGCCTGTTTGCAATGTCAAAAGTTGGACTTTAATGAAGAAATGCTTGCTTATATGCCACTTGCTATTGGCTTGCTTAATAGTGAAAAAATAAGCGCCCGTTGCTATTGGCTTGCTTAATAATCATATTATTACTGCATAGCATCATCCAATGATTTTAGCAACTTTTTGATTCTTGCTCAGATGTATGCTAGAATCTATATTGCTCCACCTTGAGTTGGAGAAAACAAGAAAAAGAAAATCATGATCTTGGGTCACTTAATCTCGGTCACATCGCTGGAAGTTAATTTATTTATATTCATTTTAGTTGCATTTATAGCTGAACAAGGATCAAATATACACATGGTGTCACTTTTTTATTTTAGACAGATGGATACATATGGAAATCTATGGACGAAATTTAGTTTCCTAAATGGTGTTTAGAGTTTAGACATAGAAGTTTTACAATACTTTTGCAATTTATGGAAGGAGCAACTTAGGCCATTCATTTTTTATAATAATCCTTTAAACATTGTGGGTGGTGTTAAATTAGTACTTATTGAATATTAGCACAATGTTTCATGCCGCCGAATTGAAAATATTTGGTGGATTATTAAAAGTTAGTGACCAAATATTCACCCTTTGTTGAATTTAGACTGACTTCTCCATTGTTTATTCAACATTTCCCAAAATCTCAGTTGTCATTGTTGAGCTACAAGTGATGGATCAGGGAGAATTTTGCTCTATTATGTTGGCAAACAGTTTGACACGCTCTGAATTTCTTTTCTTGACCTTTTCTGGTATTTGCAGGTTGAGCATGTCATAAGAGAGCAAAATATTGCGGCAGCAAATGACATAATTGAACTCTTCTGTGAACTAGTTGTCGCACGTCTTTCAATCATTGAATCAAAGAGGTGATACCAACAACTTCCCTTTTGCACTTAATCAAAGCTACGATGAGCAAATTCTGACATGGAATATATATGCAATTTTCAGGGGCTGTCCTGTGGACCTGAAGGAAGGGATTTCAAGTCTAATATTTGCTGCACCTAGATGTGCAGATATTCCTGAGCTGCTACAGATCCGTAACATTTTCCAAAAGAAGTATGGGCATGAGTTCATAGCTGCTGCAACAGAACTTCGACCAGATTGTGGTGTTAACCGAACAGTTAGTGCCTTCTCAATTGCTCAAGATAACAAAGTTATTTCAAAAAATTATAGGGGCTTACTATTTTGTTTGTGCACTCATGTTAAATGCTATTCCCACCAAAAACTTTTGCAGGAATATCAGAACACTGGCTAATTAGAACTCTAAATATGCATATTGGTTCAGCGTGAAAGCCCGAAATCGTAAAAATGATTGTGAACTTTGAATTGGCGGCTGGCATGAGCCTGATTGTGCAATATTTTCCATTGACATTTTTTCCTCTATGCTTGTAGTTGATTGAGAAGCTATCAACAAGAACAGCTTCTGGGGAAGCGAAGCTGAGGGTCATGAAAGAAATTGCAAAGGAGTATCACGTTCAATGGGATACAGCTGAATCCGAGCAAGAGCTGCTGAAGCCTCCTGATGAACTTCTGGTAGAAACACACTTGCAACATATTGATATATGATCTTTATTACTTTGATGAAATTGAAACGAATTCAACTAACCAGAATGTATGATGCAGCCTGGGCCTGCAACATTTGTTAGTGCGACAAGCATGCCTTTTCAAAATTCAGGTGATAACACCCAAGCAAATGAGAAAACTAAGAGGTACTCACTGATACACTACTACACTTTGTTCTTTGATAGATACAGTTAACTCACATGCCTCACTATTTCCATAGGATCAGCGATCCTAAGGCTTTGAACAGAGTGGAAGAACACAATAGCATGTACTTTGAAAATACAGCTTCAGCTGCTCGGGCGGCAGCTGAGTCTGCAGAAAAAGCTGCCGCAGCAGCAAAAGCTGCTGCATTTCTGGCCAATCAAAATTTGCCTAACGATGGTGAAAGATTTGTACATTCTCCTGGAAGTGTATCCCAAACTTACTCTGAAAATCCGAACCAAGCTTCAAGATCAAATAATCAATCCGAAACATTTGGAGGATGTCAAAGTAACTTAAACCGAAGTCATAATCAGACCAAGAGTATTCATGATAGGCTTTATGCTTCCCAAAACTATGGAGTGTCTCATAATTTGGGGGATGACAAGAGATCTGCTGGTTTCAATGATGCCAATATGCAAAGAAGGCATAGCTACAATGGGCCTCCATCTTCCACCAATGTACAGTCTAATGTGGTGTTTGACGACTCATGCTCAGAAAGCGAAGAGGATGGAGATGTTGGGGATAACTTTTCTGGTTATGATCATGTTTCAGATGACACTCCAGGCCATGTCTGGCATGGTCATCCACCGAATCGGCGTCCTCCATCAATACCATCATTATGCTCTAGTGATCAAAGGATGGAGAATTTCGGCTTAGGCACTGTTGCCCCTCACACTCATCCAAACTTACCAGATTGTGATGCTCTCACAGCTCGTTTCGAGGCACTCAAGGCCCATAAAAAATCATAAACAGTTTGTTTTCTGAGTATTGAGATACATTCTTTTTGGCAATTATATGCAAATACTTTATGTTTAAAAAAGTTATGCCTCAGTATCTGCATAGTATTATTTGGACTTGAATGTCATATATGAAATGTGATTGAAGCTGATTCTATTCAATTGATGTCTTTGATGGGGAGTATTCATGGTGTTTACCAGATTGAATTTGGTGTTATTATAATAATTAACATTTCAAGCAAGAAGGTTCTTTTGGTCTGAGTAGCAGTGTTTAATGGGCAGGAATACAATTTTTGGGCTATGTATCACTTGAATGCATATAGAAAATCTCTGTCAATGACCTTGTACTCAAATGACTGTTGTCACATCTATCGTTAGGGCTGGGGCATGCAAGCTTTAGTGAATCTTTTTCTTCAATTCTTAAAAAACACATTAATTTTTTACCCTTGGTATTATATAATTTTAATTTTATAAATAATAGTTATATTGATGTTTCTAATTGTATCGGCTTTTTCGTTTGAAGTACACCTTTAGCTATTGGAGTCACTGACACTTGTGTTGCTTTCCATGTAGCATTAGACATAAGCCAACTAAAATAGTACATGTTCATTGTATCTCAAATCTTTGACACGTAGAGAGAAAATGATTGGCCATTTTCAGTAAATCTCAAGTGGTCCATTTGGTAGGTCCAGGTCTTCAAGAACATTCAAAACCGGATAATAGCTTTTTCTTACTCATAACCCCATTTTGGCATATGATTGATCTAGACCACATTTTCACCTCCAAAACTGGGTTTTCTTACCCAATAACCACTGGATAACCCATTATCTGCCACCAAAACTGCATTTCTCTGCTTTTGCCACCCAAAACAGGCAAAACTTACAAAAAATCAGGTGGGGAACTCAAATGGTGGGCAATGAAAAAATAATAGAGTTGTTGAAGAGAGAGAAGATGCTTAATTTCACCATCAATGTGCATCTGCTCGCTCTATTCGAACCTCTTTGCTAGTTAGTGCAGCTTTTTCATATATTGCTTCAGGTGAACCAGTGGCTATCTCAGAGCAAACCGGTCATAATTTATATCCCCAAGACCAAAGGCTTTATCCCCTTTGAGAAATACTCTCTCTCCCCTTTCTCTCTCTCTTTTCAATCTTCTACTTTGCAATTCAGCAAAAATAAATAACAAGAAAATAAATAACAGAAACCATAAGAGTCAACAGAAATTTTATACAAAATGAAAACTTGTGACCCCTAAACTAGATTTGCAATTTGAGTTTAATCCAAACTCATGAGATCTTCAGCCAAATCCTCTATTTCGATATTCAAACTCTCATAATTTTTGAGATTTTAAATAAATATGTTTTTCATGGACTCTAAGCATTGAGTTTGATAAAGAACACAAAAATTAGGCTTAGGGACTACTTTTTAAGGGCTGATCAGGTGAGGGTTGCAAAAGGCAAGCAAGAAATAAATATTGGAAAAACCCAAGCTCAGAAAAACAATCTAACAAATCTGAGATTTCGATGTTTTTGCTGAATCTGATGTTTGGAATCCATAGAGGATGGGAAAATATGATCAGGAGCGAATTTTAAGAGACGCCTCACCTCCAAAAGTTGAAGAAAACAGAAGGGAGGGTCAGATTTTTGCCCTCACCTTTTTATATCAAAAAAGTTTCAGACTTAAGTTTTCGTGGATACTCATTGAGTTACTGTAGCAAATCGGAGTACTGCAGCAGTACAGCCGCCCATTGATCAACTCGGGCGAGTACTGCAGGGCTGATTCTCAGTAACTCTGCCGTGTCCCAATTGGACTTGAAGGGATTTTAAAATACTGCACTATACTATCATTTTCCTAATTTATAGTAACTTTTCTAATACCAATGTGCAAACTAAGCACCTTTTCCCAACAAAAAAAAAAAAACGAGACATTTGGTTGTCCGTGAATAATCTCTCTCATTAGAAGATAGAGAAGACCTCAGAAATGGGAGCTACAGAACTGTATTTTGCATGCTAAAATTAGTCGTTCGGAAAGCATTTTACTTACCCTCAATTGCTGTTAAGGCATGCTTATTGGCTATGGCAATGAAGATATGTGCGCTAGGTTAAATTTAGAAATGCATTTAGAATCTCACAAGAAATTCAAAAGAATATTTTCTCATCAGCGTAATGCTTGTTGTGATAGTTCTTATGTTCACTAAGTGTAAATGCCCAAAGTGTAGAACTCCATCACATGCTGATCAATTAGCACATAACATATGACGGGAAAAACATTAATTGCCAAGAAAATGTATGTGCAGTATAATCTCTCTTATAATGAGCATTTTAAACAAAAAATATATTACAAGTATCTCTGGTCATTTCCTATAAAATGTGGATGTCCAGGAGCTAATAATGGGAGTTCATTGAAGCAATCAGTTTGTGATGATGTTTAGAAGGGATTGGCTTTTCTTTGGTGTCTTGAATCTCAAAAGGAGACATTCACACACAAAGAGAGTGGCAGATCCCATTCGACTCAAGGCGACTACCACCTCCTCATTTGGTATGGAATGATTTTGTGGGAGCCAAGAAGAGATCAATCTGCGAGTTCTTCTTAAGGTGCTGAGACATTTTTTGAATTTCTTATTCATCTTCCTTCGGGCTGAGACATGAGCTCCAACTTGGCCTTCCATCCTGGTGTAGTCTCTCCTACGAAGAGAAGATAGAATGATTTGATATTGCTCTCTCGAACGGGATATGACATCTCTCATGATGCTGCATACATCTAGCAATTTTAGAGAGTCATTGAGCATCTCATTGACCGATTTATCTTCGGAATGGAGGGCATCAAGGGTTTGTGGAAATTGAGAAGGTCATCGAAAACATCATACAATTCTAGAAGAGAATCACCAAGGCACTCAGCTGTTTGTTGAGCAGAGCCACTAATCCGAAGCAATTTCTCATTCAATTGACACAAGACAGGGTGAGTCCCAGATGGCATGCTATTCTAACGAACATGGTATGGCATTGGGGCCGTCATGGTGCACCTCCAAGGTTCAGATCCAACCTCCGTGGCTTGGGGACTCAGCTTGTGACTTTTCCTCTTATAACAAACTTCTATGCAGGAGGGAGACCAATGGAATCTTGGTTAACAGGTGCATTCTGGTGTTCATAGAAATATATGGAGCTCCATGGAAATATATGGAGCTTGTCTACCTGAATATCAAACATTTCAAGAATCATGCAGGCTCTTGGCATGCATTGTATTTGTTTTGTGTGTACATGCCTGGCATGCCCACTCTTGATCCGACAGTGCCCTGTTTCAAGTGTACAGTGGTAGTCCCTCTTGAATACATCCTCCATATCAAATTGGGTACTTTTCATTAAAATAATGAATCATTTGCAAGTCTACTCTGTGTCGAAATTGCCAATAGAGCCATAGAATAATTGGGCGTCCATTATTGTCACATGAGTTGAGATGGGTTTCAAAAACTGTTGGTTGCAAGGAGACAAATTCTAAACTTCCAATCAATTTATTAGGGGCCCCAACTCATGATATTCCCTTTGCCTGTTAATAGACATGCATATGAGTCTTTGTAGTCATTAAATATATGATTGGCATGATCACTTATTATTAAGATGCGCCTCTAATATCCTCCGAAAATGATTGTTTTGATGTTGGAAAAACATCTAATTGATCATCTCAACATCGAGATTTATTGCTATAGTGAAAGAAAAAAAAAAGAGATTTTAAGTCCAAATATAGTACATCTTTTGACCTATTATTTGGATCATCCATTTTTAAGATTTTTATGTGTTTATAGATCTACTTGATTTGAACCATTTTTTAAGCTTAAATTTTTATAATTAGAGATAAAAATAGATTCTTGCACCATCCAAAGAATTTTCGACATTAAAATTGCATCTCAGGGCAACGTTTGGAGGTACACCTTACTTTGATTGTTTAAGATTGCAACCTTATGCAAATCACACCGTATAAATATGGGGAACTATATAGAATGAGACAACTTACCTTTAATACAATGACGTCACAATCATCATATTGACCGTTAGATTTGGAAGTCGGTAGTTGAGGATGTATCATTGTTTGGGCTCAAAGTCCAAAATACAAATTCTCGAACGTTGTGACCATAGTTAGCAAGTCTCCGTTTGAAATATGATTTTTTTTTTAAAAAAAATCTCCAATTTTTTGAAGTCCGTTAAGTATTCCGAGTTTTTGAAAAGATATTCAAAAACTCGTTTTTTTTTAATGGAACTGATATAGATTTGTATTTTACCTTTTAAAAAAACTTCTTAACTTATAACTTTATTACTTCATTAACTTAATATTATTGAATTCTGTATTTTACCTTTTAAAAAAACTTCTTAACTTATAACTTTATTACTTCATTAACTTAATATTATTGAATTTTGTTTTAAAGATAGTACATTAACAATGGGAGTAAATTAATAATCTTTATTTAACGAAAAATTCCTTCAAAAGTTTTATTAATAAGTTCCGCAATAAAAATAACCTCAGTAGAATGATAGGAAGAGTAACTCAATGAAATAATATATATATATATATATATACATAGAAGATGCTAGGGTGTGCCCACTAGCTCACAGGAAAAAATGAGCCCAACTGCCCAGATTGAATCTGGGCTAATCTGATGATCACGAATGTCCGGTAGTGTTTGAATTTTAGTTTTTTTTCTATAAATCCAAATCACTTAAAATTTGAAGCTTGTGTACATAAAAAATAGGTGAATCTTCAAAAAATATCAAAAAAATATTTTATATGAAATACATTTGCCAAAATACTCTCTAAAAGTTTTGGGAGTATTTTGGTCAATTTTATTTTTGTGAATTATTATTTTTATATTTTTATTAGGTCTGGCTTGATTAGAAAAACACACGCCTAAAATTTCAAGTAATTT